ACCCAGTAACAACAAATGTTGGTGAGGATGAGCTGAAAAAGGAACTCTCCTGCATTGCTGGTGGGAATGCAAACTAGTACAACCACTATGGGAAGCTGTGTGGAGGTTTCTCAGACTGCTAAAAATAGAGCTACCAGGTGACCTAGCAATCCCACTTCTAGAGATCTACCCAAAGGGACACAAAAACAGCAATTCAAAAGAATACCTGTGTCCCTATGTTTACTGCAGCACTGTTTACGAGAGGCAAAACCTAGAAACAACTAAAATGCCAAAAAATAGATGATTGGATTAAGAAGAGGTAGTCTATATCAAATGGAATTCTACTCAGCTCATGCCATTGACAGCAACATGGATGGAGCCGGAAGGGATCATGCTTAGTGAAATAAGCCAGAAGGAAAACGAAAAAATAAGAGGAATACAGGGGGAACTAAATAAGACAGCAGGGGGGAAATAATAACAATACAAAACACAACAAAAGAAAAACAGAAATTATAAACCAGAGACATCCTGTAGGGAAGGAAGAAGGGAGAATTAGAGAGCACTGTGGGCACAGTGCTTGGGTGAAGTGGGGGAGGAAATTCACCTGAGGGGGCGAAAAAGAGCAGATATTGTTTAAAGTAAACCGTGATGTAAAGTATAAGTAAATAGATAAATACGTAAAGAAAAGAATTTTAAAAATGAAGCAAAAAACACACAAAAAATGCTTACATATGTGTTGACGGTGTTAATGTGCATAAGTGGGCTGTGTGAGCGTGCAGAGTGTGGGTGTCTGGCTGTCTGGCGTGTGTGGGTGTGTCTGTGCGAATGAGGTGTCTGTGATTAGGGAGGAGGACGCTGTGCACGCACAGGTGTGTGTGCTGCATGTGTAGCGTGGAGTATCCCTGCACGTCTGTGATGTGTGAGCAAGCATCTCTGTGCATTATGGAAAACCTGAGTTTTAACTCTGAAAGAGGAAGATGTCATGTGACCCTAACCAGAACAGAGGCGCAAGAGGAGGAGGAGACTGTACTGAAATGCATCTCACGATAAAAGTTCCTCTTGAAACACGCTACTGACTTGGCGCCCTTGGCAAGGAGTGGCCCCAGGAGTGGACGGCAGTGCTGTGATCAGAATTTGGAGGTGCTGCTAGTTTGTGGCTTGCCCTTTGGGTGGCTGGGGTACAGAGGGACATGGAGCCAGGCTCCCACATGAACTACACCAGTGCCATTTAGGACTTAGTATTACTTAGATTCTCCATTTTCTATTCCTTTTGAATTTCCTCATCCAACTTGCTTCTTTTATGTTATTCACTCTTGGTAAGCAGTAAACTATTGAAGGTTTGGAGAAGATTAAAGCCTATGCCTGTACAGGGCTTTATGGATTACTACTGGAATTCAGTGATCTGAGCATAGTTTATTTTCTGCCTGGGCAGATAATTGCAGATTCACGGTGTCACTTGGTTGGCTTGCAGGGAACATTACATATTACAACCGACTGGGAAGATGAGGGTGTTTTTCTTGAATTAAAAAAAAATTTGTTCTATTTTCAGTCATTATTTTACAACAAAAATTTAATGAAAATAGCTGGTTTCTTTTCTTTCTTTTCATTATCCATTATAGTCTCTATGGATTTCCTGCCCTTAAACAAATATAACAGCTGCTCTAAAATCCTGAGCGGGATGGCAAATAGAGTAACATGGTCCAAACTGGAGTATCATGCTTCCATAATGGTGAACCTGACATCCTGCTAAGGTCTCTGCTTTGGGGTGTGTGGTACAGGAGAACAAAGTTTAAGAAGCTTTTCCTGTTTTTAGTGGTGAGTTTCTGAAATGTGGGCTCAGGTTCTCAGTATTATAGTCACGAAGCTACTTGATTTGTGATGTCATTTACGAAAGACAGAGCCCCCAATATTTGAGCTGTTATTCATGCACCACATCTAAGACTGGAAATTCATGGAGGTTGGCGTTAAAGTGACGGAAGGTGCACTTGGAGGTCATGTGTGATAGCTGAGGACCTCTCGTGATGAAACGAGGTTCATTTCTGAATTACCTCCATGAAACAGGGCACTAAGTGTCAGCCACCAGCTGGCAACATGCATCGAATTACTGCACATGGAATCCCATGCACAGAGGTCACGAGAACAGGCTTGTATGTACACGAGTGCCTACCACAGGCCACGATCTCGGTTCTATTCTTGTAAAACTGCACAATTTTCCTGAAAAGACAGAAAATGAGGGGTTGTGCTGTTCCTACTCATGTTTGATTTCTTAATGTGTCTCTATTGAAGCAAAAATAAACTGATTAAACTAAGAGACAAGTAT